CCACAAGATGATTTGTGAATGGGAACACTTCATATAAATATCTAAATTGCTGTCTTCTCTTAAAAACTCAGAATATTCCTATGGGACCGCAGTGGCCAAGCCTGAGATGGGCGGCCCATCTTGGGTGGCACACACTCTCCAATTCACCCAGCCCCGCCGAGGGCAGGCATACCCCGCATTTGTGCTGTCTGCCTGGCACTTGTGGGCAGCCAAGTTTTCAGATCTTGGCATCTACATCATTACCCATCTTTGACCACACGTGTGGTGGGCCAATAATGTGACCAGATTACCTGACAAGGCAAAGGGGTTTTTGCAGAGGAAAATAAGGTTATGGACCTTAAAATAAGATTACCCTAGACTGTCTGGGTAGGCCAATCCAGTCACACCAGCTTTTAAAAGCAGACAACTTCCTCCAGCGCAGCAAGAGAGACGGAAGAGAAAGAGAAAGTGGAGAGATTTGAAGTGTAAGAGGGGTTCGACCCACCACTGCTGGAGGGGCCACATGCAAAGCATGAGAAAGAACACGGGCAGATTCCAGGAGCAAGGACTGCCAGCAAGAACAGGGCCCTCGGTCCTACAAACACGGGAACCGAATTACACAATGACCCGAAGGAGCTTGGAGGCAAACTTCCCCCAGGAGCCTCAGGACAAGAGCCCAGCATGGGCTGAGCTGTCCCTGATGGGGTCTTGTGGGAGCCAGTGCCCAGGAACCCACAGGGCTTACCCAGACTTCTGACCCACAGAACTGTGAGTTAGCACACTTGTGCTGTTCCCAGCTGTCACCCTGTGGCACTACCACAGCAGCAACAGAAAACTAGCACACGTGGGGCCTAAGGAAGAATTGTCTCGTGCCTCGACGAACTGGAGCCTCAGCCCCAGCCGCTCTATCCAACCACCACACCTCTGCTCAATGAGGAAGAGCTTGTCCCTGAAGGCAGAGGCCAAATGGGGCAAGAAAAACCGTCGCCCAGGCTTCCTGGGAGCCTTTCCCCAACAACCAGGGGTCCCCCGCTGATGCAGGACTTCAGCAATCAAGCTCAAAAAGCCATTGCCTGAGAGCCAGCAATCGCATTCCTGGGCATTCGTCCCAGAGAAATAAAAAGCCCATGTCCACACAAAACCCGTGCACCATTGTAGAGCAGCTTTATTTGCAATAGCAAGACCTGGAAACAGTGAAAACGCCCTCCAGTGGGTGCACGACTAGCCCAATTGTGGTGCAGCAATACCAAGGAGTACTGCCCGCCAACAAAGAGGGACAAGTGCTGACACGCAGCAGTCTGGTGCAGCGGGGCACTCCGCTGAGTGCAGAAGCCAGTCTCAAAAGGCCACAGACGGTATGCTTCCATGTATATAACATCCTGGAAAGGACACGATTTTAGGAAGGAAAACAGATTACAGTGGCCATGCTCGGGCTGTTGCAGGGAAGGGGTGATGTGACTATGAGGGTGACACAGGAGATCACCCTGCACCTTGACAGCAGCAGTGGTCACACGAATCTCCTCATGTGGTAACATGACACAGAACCACACACACATTGTGCCAATACCAGATTTCTGTGCCATAATTATGTAAAATGTAACCACTGGGGAAACTGGGTGAAGGGTACAGGAGGGCCCTCTGCATTGTCTTTGCAACTTCCTATGATCTATATTATTTCAAAACAAAAAGTTAAATAAATCATCACCTGGAGTTAACACTTCTCACACTGCTACATGGTGCACTGGATCAAACAAGTAGGTAGATGGACGGTGGATGGTGGGAGCCAGGCCCTTCCTGTGGGGTGGGAGGTTAGCTCAGCAAGGGGAGGGGGCTGGAATGACCACGTGATGGCAGATCAGAGGGGGAGACGTCAGTGTGGACGTGTGTTCAGTTACTAGAGATCCAGGGGGCTACATGTAGAAATGTTTACAGACGAGTGTATACACATAGTACACACACACACACCCCAAAGCAGGCAGTAGATGAGGCTGCCCGCTGCTCACCCAGGGGCTCCAAGGGCCACCATTCTGTCCCATGGCTGAGGCCATCAATGGCCCATCGTTCACTACTAAGACCTGGATGAGGACAAAACGAGATTCTACCAGCCCACAGAGCCTCCCACCAGCGTGACTTCCAACCCGTTTAACTAGCCTCACCCTGGACTCACTCGACGAACTTTCCCAAAGCCTCCTTTCCTCCTAAGAGGGCCAAATGCCCACTCCCTCCACGCAAACAGCCCAAGAGGTCATCAGCCTCCACCTCAGGGTGCACTCTTGCAGCATTCGCGAATTCATCACAGGCTGGGGACACGACTGGTCCAGGACAGGGAAGCTGCATCCCCTCAACACGGGGCAACCCAGAGCCTCTCACAAGGAGGGGGATGGACCAAGTCTTCTGTGGTTTGTACTTTTTCCTCTTTCTTCAATTTATCTTACAACTGCAAGTTTGTACCTTTTGACCACCCTCACCCATTTCCTCCACCCCGCAACCCCGCCTCTGGCAACCATCAGTCTGCTCTGTTTCTAAGAGTTTGGTTTTTTCAGATTCCACATCTGAGTAAGATCATGCGGTATTTTTCTTTCTCTGACTTACTTCACTTAGCATATTGCTAGCATAATGCCTTCAAGGTCCATCCATGTTGTCGCAAATGGCAGGATTTTCTTTTTTAAAAAGGTTAAATAATATTCCATTGTGTATATAAACCACATCTTTCTTATCCGTTCATCCATTGATGGACACAGGTTGTTTCCATGTCTTGGCTATCGTGACTAATGCCGCAATGAACACGGGGGTGCAGATATCTCTTCAAGATAGTGATTTCACTTCCTTCAGATAAACACCCAGAAGTGGGATTGCTGGATCACACAGCAGTTCTATTTTTAATTTTTGGAGGAGCCTCCGTCCTATTTTCCTCTTCTGTGGCTGTCACAGTACCTCGTGAGCACTGTTTGAATGAGAGCCCACCAGGCTGATGCACTAAGCATCAGTGCACTAAGCTACTTCAGTGTCAGACATGGCCGGCATGCTCAGAAGAGACCCTGGGGTCATCCAGCCTGAGTTGTTGGCTCTGCAGACAGGAAAATGGAGACCCAGAGAGACTGAGCGACTTTCCTGAGGTCACTCATATTCCCAGGAAAGCTCTGTGCTTCCCCCATCAGAGACCACAGCCCACCCTCTGTCTCTCCTTCACAGGATGTCAAGTCCAGATGCCCCACCGCCCCAGCCGCAGGGAGTCACGCCCCATCTGACCCCTGCCCTGAGCTCAGACATCCTTGAGCCCACCCGTGCCCTCAGGGGAGGGTCTTGAACCACCTACAAGCCAGGCCCCCAGAACTGAAGTCATCGCATTCTTTCCTGTTTCCATGTATCTGGTCTGACCCTGGCAGCACCCCTAATTGTGGCTCTCTACCAACAAGGCCAGATTCTCCACACACCCCTTCATAAACAGCCACCCCTCAGGTCTCAGCTCAGCCATCAGCTCCTCCAAAAACTGCTGTGTGATGAGCTCCACGTGCTTCTGTCACAGGTGGCAAGTGTGTGTGTCTGCTGCGCCTGTGCCACTAGACTGTAAGTTCCAGGAGGTCCGTGACTGCACATCCGCATCACGGCCCTTCACGCAGAGCCGACACCAGCAGACACACAACACATTTGGAGGAAGAAGGGAAGAAGGGATGCAGTCATAACAGGTTGGCTCCATATAACCGACCATAACTGACCAGGCAACAGGACCGTGCCCTCTGCTTTGTGGAAAGGCAACTGACAGCTCTGGGTGGCAGCGTGTGAGGACATTTGGGGGATGTCTCTACTGTGGGGCCACCTGCAAAGCCAGGGCTTCAGAGGCAGCACCTGGGGCCTGTGTGGAGAGGTAGGCTGAGCCCCACTCGGGAAGCCCCTGAACCCATGGCCCTGAGTGACATGGCAGGCTTTTAGTAACTGAAATATGACTTGTTTTCTAAAAGTTTCATAACCAGGAGGTCCTAGTGACTAACAGCCTACATTTTCATAAAAAACGACCAAGAACAGGCAAATATTTGTCAGACACAACTCCTGATATTTCCCTCGTGGACCATCTTCCCCTGAGGTCAAGAGTGGCCCACACAGCCCCCTCACCATGGGCTTGGGGGCAGGCAGAGGAGTCTCTGCCAGCACACTAGACACCCTCACCCTTGCCTAGAGAGCATCTGGGGACAGAGTCGGGCTTTTTCCTTCCACATGTGAAATTTCAGTGTCCAAGGCAACATTTTAAATAACACTCTCTCACACAAAAACCTTAATTCATGCTCCAGCGACCTCTGCTTATCAAGCCAGACATCAGGAACAGAACAATTAGAGAGAATCCGGCCCCACAGAAGAGGCTAGGAACAAGAATGTATTCCACCTAGTGCATCTGGACACAGGTGCGTTTTCATCACAAACCCTGGGCCGCAGACCCACTGCGATTTACCGCGCGCTTGCCGGGTGCCGAAGGAGGAAAGGCTGCCCCCGGGGATCCACCAAGTCTAAGGGAGGGCTGACCCCACTGGGAGAGACACAAGGGCTCAGGGATGACTCAGATACCCCAGGTCAGTGCGGAAGGCCCGCAGGCTCTGCCCCCCAACCAGGAGGGGACAATGAACTACTGGAGACGTGTCTGGAAATGAGGGCCACATCAGGGCCCTCAGTCCCAGTAGGGAACACCAGGGTTGGGGGAACTCTTTTTTGCATTTCAGAACCCTCTCGGCAATCCAGGATAAACCACGCAGCCTGACTAAACCTCCAGACTCTCCTTTTGGCGAGGGGAGAGCTCACGCTGAACTGAGCCGTGACTCACAGGCGGCTCCGTGCAAGTCTGACTGATCCAGAAGTGCGGACGCAAATCACTGTGGTTGAAAGGGAATCTTGACACACATGGGGCCTGGAGAGAAAAGACTAAGAATGGACATGGTGGGGGGGGGGGTTGGCAGGGACTGGGAGCTGCTGACCTGGAAGACAAGCCCTCTGCGACCAGGGCCAGCCCGGCCACCCTCCGCCAAGCCCTGTACCTTGGTCAGCAACAGGACTCGCTTCTGAAGTCTCCGGGCCAGAGCCTCGTGCATCTCCCGCTTCTTCCTCTCCTCCAGCAGCTGACCGTTGACCTGGCGGACCTCCTCCTGGAGCTGCTGCCTGACCTTCTCCAGCCCCCGGGCACTACACGGAAAAGGCAAAAGGCAGAGCGATGAGGCCTGGCCCACAGGACAGCACCCCAGCGACAGTCCCCCCAGGACCAGGACGGCACTCTCACTCTGGTCCCAAAATAGAGCTGCACGTGCAGCCAGCTCACTGTCATTTCCTCACTTCTGAATAGCTACTTAAAGCCTTTCAGGAGTTTCTGGATTTCAAATAGACACCAGGGTGATCCCAGAACATGGCAGGCAGTGGGGGAGGGGACACAACTCCACACACAATGGGAAAAATTGTCAGCCACGGGGTGCTTCGGGAGACGGCAGTTCTGAATGAGCTCAATCACCAGCGCCAGCACTTCCCTCTGAATCGTAGGCGGCGGCAGATGTGCAGCTTGGGGCGGGAGCCGTTCTACAAATACTTTGCAAAGGCGAACACCAGCCAGACCTTCCACACGGGCCCAGAGGCCTCCTGCAGGGCTCCTCCCGAGAGGCCAGGCGCGGACAGGCCCGCTCCCGCCGGACCCTCAGCAGGCTGACCCTTTCTGGCCATTCTGCTTTACACACCTCCTGCCCCTTCAGGCTCCCAGCACCTCTGCCTCAGCTCATGCACGTGTCCTTTCCCACCTGCATTACTGCTGTTGTAAGAACTGCCTCTCGACAGCCCCCACTGACAGCCTCCGCCCCTACCAGGCCGTCCTTTCACACCCCAGATAAGGACAGGGCCCCGATGCAGAGGCTTCTTGCACTCCCAACCACCCACAGGCTGACATCCCCACCTCTTGGCACAGTAGCCAAGCGCCTTCAGAGTTCGGTCTTTGCCTGGCTTTCTCTCACAATGCCATCAGTCCTTCACAGTGCTGCCCCAGGGCCGTCCTCTGCACCTGGCTTTTCCCTACACATTCCTCGGAAGCCGGCCCAGGAGCCACAGTGAACAGCAGCCAGTGCCCAAAACTAGCGGGAAGACCCCATGACTCCCGTGATCATGCACCCTCAATGCTGCCTCCCCAAACGAGGGCCCACACGCAGACACCTCCACATACGTGCATGAGGGGATGATAATCAGGATGGCTCACAGGAAGGGATCTCTGCAGAGGGGCCAAAAGGGAAGTCATCCTGAGAAAGGAGTGATCCTGCTGCGGGTGTGGAGCCAGATACATTACCAAGCGTGGGTGGGAAACTCAGTATTCGTGCTATTTCTTTAAGGAGAGGAAACCTCTGCCCAAAGGAAATCTTTAAAATCTCAAAAAAATAAAACAGAAATAGAACATCATTAGGATTATAGGGTGACAACTGTAAAGTTTACCTGAGGTGACGATCAATAAGAACAATGACACTGCTTTGAAAATACAAAAATTGAGATGAGGGGCTACAGATGACACCTGCAGTCTTGCATCCTTCCTGGCATCTAATTATTTCCTTTTTGCTTTGATTACACAATTCCAAGAAAACTTGAATTCACCGGGATGGCAGAAGACGCTTTCTCTGGAGTAGTCTCCACTGTGCTCATTTGTTCTATTCCATGTCTGAGTGAGTACTGGGTTTTTTATTATAATTTAGTATAATTCTTTAAGTAGCTAAGTATAATTTGAAAACAGAACCTTACAAGAGACTTGGCAGAGAGCCCCTCTCTGGGCCACCCGAGATGGCCCACAGCACATGCCTTGGACCCACAGGAGCTGGGACCAACGCTCTCACTGCAAGGGCCCTAGCATTTCATTTTGATGGAGCCATCTCAAAGTCTTACACTAGTATTTAACCCAAGTGCACAGCTGGCCACCTGCATCTGCCACCTCTAGGTGCTTCATAACCAAAAACAAAAAATAAAAAATAAGTACAAACATTCATTTGAAACAGACATATTAAGAGGCTACTTTGAGTTCTAGTTCAATTTGAAACTATTCATAGGTCAATTTAATAATCAAGGACTGTGAAATCGACCCTGGAATCACTGAGTTCAGGTGGGGAAGTTCAAGACCACTTTAAATCACCGTTCCACCATGGTGACTTAATTAGAAGGGTGGCACTGCTCCCCCACTCACGCATGCAAAGGCAAGAATGTGGCCAATGTCATCTTTTGGGTGACTGGGCTTAGGGGGGAGGGGCTGCTCTGAGAAGCTGTCCTCAGCACACGCTTGTTAGGTACAGCCTCGGGGGAGGCTGACAAATCCTAAGACCCTCAGTTTTAGGAGCATGATGCCCACGTATCGTGCAGGGGTCTAACTGGAGACCTCCTCACCACAAGTAGGTGCAAGCACACTGTGAAAAGGGTGACTACTATCCACCTGTGGAGAGCCAAGAGCCCACCCTCTGGTGCCTGGGGGCCTGGGCCCAGTGCAATAGAGCTGTAGGCAGGCCTGCACAGGATACCTGCATCTGAGTCTGTCGGCTGCCAGCTCCCTGTGCACGTCCCTAAAATGCAGGTGGGCCTCAGCCCCTTGGGAGAGGGGACGGGGAGCCCCTAGCCCAGTCCTAAGATGGCATAAACACCAATATGTCAACTGCAGGACACAGCACCAGTCATGTGTCCAGCAGCACCACAGGAAGATGACAGCCTTTCAGGGCTTTGGGCTGGGCCCAGGGTGGCAAAGCTCCTGTGCCCAGTTAGAAAGAAAACCTGTCTCTCCCAATGATAAAATGCTTTTCATGCAATCAGGATGGGAAGGAATGAAGCCAGAGGACACTCAACCCTGAAGGAGACCGGACACTAGCAGGGTCAGCACTGGGAGGGCAGGCCCATTGCAGACTCGGCCTGAGTGTCTCTCGGCCTGCCCAGGCCCACGGGGTGAGCCCCATCCTCAGGTTTGTCAGCCCTGCATCGCCCTGTGTTCCTACGGCCTGGCACAAGGCCTGATACTCAATTTTTTAAAAGACAGAACTAGATCTAAAAATCCAACTTCAGCGTATTACAGGAGACGATGCTACTGAACACTCTCTGCAGAGCCTCGCTCAGGACCATCAGCAGCTTAGATCTACTCATTCATTCATTCACTAGGCATTCACTGAGTCCCAGCGACAAGCTTCCCCAGGCCCTGGAGAAGCAGCAGGGATCTACCACCACCATACGCCAGACCTCATGGGCTCTCATTCTAGGAGTATGCATCTCAGGCAAAGAAACCACACAGATACGTGAACAGAGGGAATGTAACATCAAGCACCATTAACCAGGCATAAAGCCATAAGGGGGTAACTGCAAGGGAAAGAAAGAGACCCCTAAGATATCAAGGAGGCAGCAACTTCAGGAAGCAGCTGTGATTCCTTGGGCTGTGGGAACCAAGGCAAGAGGCTGAAATCATTAAATCTAGAACCTTAGAGAATCGGAACTTAGAACTTTGGGGAGGCACCACCAGTGTCAGACCCAGGCCTCAGAAGAGCACCAGCCTGCTGAGCTGGTGCCCTGAGCGCCAGGAAAACCGCGAATGGGCATCAGCTGCTGCTGGCAGTGACAGGCGCTGCTCAGAGAAGCGACGGGAGGCCCGCAGGCCCGTTCTAGGAAAAGGAAGGAGTGCGTCCCTTCCTCCTGCCAGCCCTGCGGCCTCTCCCCAGCGTCCCCACTGGACAGGCTGCAGGATGCCAGCAGGAAAGCCAAGCGTGGGAAAGGGAGGCTACAGTCCACAGAGACAGTGCAGTAACTGCAATGGGCAGAAGACGGACAGGAAGCAAAGCGATGAATGCTTGATCACCTCGAGAGAGGAGGTGCAGGGGAAGAAAGCAGGAAGGACCCAGAGGCGAGGACATGCTGGGTCATCAAGGGGCGGGGGGGCCTCTGACTCACGGACCCTCAGGAACCACAGGGAGAAGAGCAGCCCTGCAGAGGCGACAGCAGGCAAAGGGGCAGGAGATCCCCGAGGGCCTGGAGCCCCCTGGGAGGGGCATGGAGAGGGTCTGAGCAGGCGCAGAAGGGCAGCGGATGAGGAGCAGACCGAGAAGGGCTACATTGAAGGACGTAAGAGAAAATGAGAACTAAGACAGTACTGACCGCCTTCTCAAGATGTCCATTCAGCTACAAAAGAAAGTAGACACGGGGGCCGGCCCCGTGGCTTAGAGGTTAAGTGCGTGCGCTCCACTGCTGGCGGCCCGGGTTCGGATCCCGGGCGCGCACCAACGCACCGCTTCTCCGGCCATGCTGAGGCCGTGTCCCACATACAGCAACTAGAAGGATGTGCAGCTATGACATACAACTATCTACTGGGGCTTTGGGGGAAAAAATAAATAAATAAAATTAAAAAAAAAAAAAGAAAGTAGACACGGGTTGGCAGATGGGGGTAAGAAGTCAGAAGCTGTCTATGTTTTGTACAAAAATCCCATGGGAAGCAGAGTAACAGCACACAGCACGCTCAAGGAAGGGCCCCACAGAGTGGGGAGTCTCATTCACACATGAGATAAGGAAGACAGAGAGCAAGGCCCTCAGGTAACAAGAATCGCTGGACCATCCGGCACAGGCAGGGGCTGGCTTTCCACAGGGAATCCAGTCAAAATGCCCCAAATTAGTTTTTCAAACCACCTGCAAAGAGATGGCCTCCCTGATCCTCGCATGCCAATGGGGGAGAAAGCACTAGACGTGGGGCCAGAAAGGGACGTCTGCAGCTCTGCCCACAACCTCGAGGGATCTCTCTACAGCGCGGAAGCATCTGGGTCGCCAAACCCCAGAGCCCCGATCTACACCACCAGCACCCCAGACAGCCAGCTCCTCTCTGTCAGGGATGTTCTCTCTGTTCAAACTCAGCCTTTCTTGTGAAGCAAAGAAGAGAAAACTCATAAAAAATTAAACCTCTAGTTCCATGCTTAAGCTGAACTCTGAGGTCACTGGCATTTCCGAGAACCTTTGGGAGTTCAAAATGAAGTTCTTAGTTCTTAAAGGAGAATTCGGGCATGTTTATTGATCAATGCTGTTTTGAGCTAGCATCTGCTGAAGGAAACAAGATCTGAGCTTTTGAGAACCCATCTTTGTACTCTGACGGGCCACTGCAGTCCACTTTAATGTAATCTTCATCAGAAAGCTCCCAGCCTAAGAATATCTACTTCCAA